AACACATCTTTTGTTGAAGTTTGTTTGATCTTTTACATGTATTAATTGGATAATGACTTCATTGATGTAATACCATTTTTATTAATGGTTAAACTGTCATTATTTGGATAAACATAAGCTAGTTTATTGGAATGTTAGTTGGAGTAACGTTTTAAAAGTTTTTTGACATTTTTTTCCAATTATAACACTGAATGTTTATTACTAATATGAATAGCTAGTGATTAATATCAATTAAAAATTATTAATTATTTAGAACATTAAAGTCGAGATGTGTCTTGCTGCATTGCGCGAGTACTCTTCTAATAACTCTATAAATGGYCCACCTAAGACTCCACATGACATGGCATGGCAACATAAAGCCTCATTCCAAAATTTCTCAAATGAAAATGTCGTTGCGGAAGATAGCTCAATCCATATGAACATAATATCTTAATGAATTTCTTACATGTGATTTTATTTTCCATCTTTTTCAAACATAACTTCAAATCTTGTTTTGTAATTACAAGTATAGAAGAAAAACAAACCACCAATGCCTATGTTAGTCTTTAGAATATAGGAACAACATATGTTATGGGATTTAAAATATCGCCATCCAACAATTCCAGTTCACCCGTTGAACATATTAATTAACCTTGAATTTATATATCTGTTACGGAGAGAAACATGTGTATCTGCGGTGAGTTAACAAACAGTCCACAGTGGAYAGCACAAGTATACACTGGTCACTATGATCGTCATACAAGTAATAGAAGTTGCGTCATACAAGTAATAAAAGTTGGTAAGAACCAATATCGTATTCCCAAGACTCGACAATCAAGACAAGCTCGTTTTTCATGAACTTCCTTTTATATGTTTCAATTAGAGAGGAACCAAATAAGTTGGGTGGTTTGGTGAAACAGTTCTAACAAAGTTCTCATAATAGGATGAGATGTAGTTATGATTTTCCCCAGATTTATATTAAATACCTGATCTAGAAGAGGGGTCACTGTACTATGTGGAGTGGGTACTCTCTTTTGAGAGTTTCGGTCACAATTAATACTCTCATTTTCTAGTTAAAGTTTTATATATTTAAGTTTACCATTTTGTCAATGATAACTCCTGGGGAACCCTCTATAGATTCTATGGAATGTGTAGAGATAAATGCTCTAAGTGTACGTTTTTAACGCATTAGGTAGCTTGCCTATACTCCATGTGGTTGGAGTTCTCACTATGCAAACCCAACTCTCGTTGGCGTTATAAGATTTCTCTCAACTCCCTAGCATCACCCAAGCTCGTGTCACTATGTTTTGTCCATCTCTAGATCTAAAACTAGACTTTAGACACTTTCAAGAGATCAGCTTGTCCGCATCATTAGGTTTTATCAAACAAAAGGTGACCAAAACGACAAATGTTTGATATATAAGACTACTCAAGAATTTTACATATAGTCAAGGTACTTTTCACTTCTACATCTCAAAAGATGCTTAGTTCATAGTTAAGAATGAGTAGAAAACAGAAAGTAAAAGATTGCAAGAAATCATCCTAGAGGATTTTCAATAAACTGGAAAGTCTCAATGCCCACTCTCGAAGACACTAGTTTACAATGTTTGAAATAAGATTACTGAAAGTAAATTAAGTTACTGGAAAGTAAAYTTTACTGCTGGAAATGAGAAACTACAACTCTAGACTTAATTGCTAAGTAACTAAAGTAGATAAAGATTGATGAAAACAATAAATGTCAAGCATTTATATAGGTCAAGCCAAA